AGGTAGAAGTCCTAGGCACTCAGTTGCAAGCATTCAAATTGATCCGGCACGACATCAAAAAGACTTAGGTCCGAGTCCTAGAACAAGTCCAAGAGGTAGTATAGTACCAGATACGTCGTCGAAAAACGCCGAGTGTCCCGATTACGTTAAAACACCTCGGGGCTCTTTGATTCCGGATTCTCAAAGAAGCCCCCGAGGTAGTATTGCACCTTCAGAAAGAAGTGCAAGAGGAAGCTTGGTGGCAGGAGAGTTAGATGCTGCAAAACTTAGTCCCAGAGGTAGTCTTACTTTGACCTTTCAGGAGCCTTTGGTTTCAAGGGAAAGGAGGGCAAGTGAGGAAAGTCAAAGTGCTGGTAAATATTTTAACACTTTTTCACAATCACATAGTCTTGCCAAATAAATCTATTTTCTTAATTAATCAACAGATTATGACAATATAAAGCTACTTATTTCCTATTTTCAAACAATGTTATTCTGTAAAAGTTAGTAAAATAATTAAGTTATAGAAGAACCTTTACTTTCGGTTTTTTAAACTTGTAATAACATAAAACTTAATGTAAATTATTATATTTTGCTATTAATGTAATACCAGCCTTTACGCGTTCCACTGTATGCAAAAAGCCTTTTCTTTCATTATAATATATTAAACTCAACTTAATTGTAGGTACAAGGGGTCGAAGTGTTTCACCTTATAGAGCATCTTTAAGTGGTCGACAAAGTGGCACCGGTGCTCTTTCTGAAACCGGTTCCAGGAGAGCTTCAAGTTCCGTTAGTCAAGTAAGTTTGTAATTTATTAAATATAAGAGGAGGAAAACGAGCATGCGGATCTCTGATAGTAAGTGACTACCGCCCGCAATATATTTATTGCACCCTGTTGCAGTATATTACGTACATGGTAGAGCCCTTCTGCAACTACTCAATGGTTGTAGCACGAATGGGCCGGTTCGATTGGATTACGAAAGGATTACGCTTTCACAGAGTATCAGAGTAAAGTAGCAGTTAATGCTGCAGCGTTTCATACGGTGAGTGTGGGAAGCCGAATACTCTTTTAATAGAGCAACACAGGGGTAGCAACACAGGGGTAGCAACACAGGGGAGCAACACAGTCTGATACATCAGCTATCCGTGATGCTTTATGCCCTTTTTATCGGTAACGAACAGGTAACGAAGCATTCCATATTAGTCCTCAGGGGTGACAACTTAAATATATTTTATTCTTAATTAAGGATAGATAACATGAGGTAGACTTTGTGCTTACTTGACATCCTTAATTTATAAAAGAAAGGTGCGTTGTCTCATTTTATTTTAGTTATATTTTTTGTCATTCAAATGTGATATTTCTTTATAACAACATTGGAGGTCAGATATTGCAATTAATAGAAATTAATATCGCAGGTATCTGGTGATGAGCAAAAGCGATTATGCGGTGAGCAAGCTAAGTACACCGAACGCAGCTTGGGCTTAGGAGTGGGCTTAACAACTTATGGCTCTGTTGCCTATCAACTTAAAGATGCAAACATGGAAGCGTCGAGTACCCTAGACTTCGTGTGCAGAGCCGCTAAAATAATGAACAGAACTAGTGAGTTAATTTTTTAAGCACGATATAATCAATGTGAGATATTTTACATATTGTGTTCATGAGTATTTTGGATACAGCTGCAATTGGTAAGAGGGCTTTTATGTATCTACTGAGCTTCAAATGAAAGAAAGGGAATCTTATTTAAAGAGAGGGATTTTCAATGAAAATCTCATGTTATTACTTATTTCAAAGAACAAACGTTATATTAACAGATAACATTTTGTTTTACAAAATTAGTCATAGACAATATGATTCTGTATCATGATCTTGTGGGTGTCGTAAGAAGCGACAAAAATACATAGAAACAGAAGAAGGGCAGTAAAATTTTCCTGATAACAACTCTCGCTCGGGTTGGATCCTCGCCGACACCAATGAAATTGTTAATTGCAATTTAAAGTGCTGATTTACCACGTGCTCGGCGGTGAAGGAAAACATCTTAAGGAAACCTGCATGTCTGAGACAAGGAAAGAAAATTTCTAAGTTAGTAATGAATAAATACATAAATGTCATGATTTGAAACAAGTACAAGTGCCAGATTTCGTTTGCGGAGTTTCTGGCCGCGTCGGTAGAAAATTGGAATCACTGCGTGTTGGACAGTTTTGATTTCCGTATCTGTAGTATTGGTATTAACCGCAGTAAAATCGGGTTTACTGCGTGAAAATATTTAAAATGGTACATTTTTTTAAAAAACAACAATTTTTTGTTATGAAGTATGGGTAGAAGATCTATGTTATATGTTTTGTATAATTTAAATTTTTTATTGTACTTAAGTATTGTTAACAATATTTTGTAAGTCGTTTTGATAAGGTGATACAGTTGAATGATCTTCTCCAATAGAAAGCCCTTTTGCACTAAGTAAATTTAAAAAAAAATCGGAAATTATCAAAAATAATTTGTTGTTACAGTTCTGATGACAGTTTTTCTAGCATGCCTTTCCACGTTGCCAGTTATAATGTTGATAATGGGTAAGTGAGTTTGGATTTTACTCGACTCTGAATTAATTAAAAAATCAACTGTACGGCTGACTTAAGTAGTTTTAAAATTTACATTTTATGGAATTACAATTGAGTTTTCACAATAAAAAATTAAAAGTGATGTTAGTTACGCCCTTATGTTGGCACTTTGTTAAGCTGAATCCTCGTTAAACGGTAAAAATCCACGGCCGGTTTTTACCGTTGAAAGAGAATTCATTGTTTTTCTTCTGATTCATCAGTTCGGTAAAAATCCACGGCTGATTTTTACCGACCTGATTAATCAGAAGAAAAACAAATAATTTAGCCTGTAATAAATAATAGTAATAACATCCATTAAATAAAACAATTTTATAGGTTTTATCGCGTTTTAGTATTTGATTCCCGACTCTTCTTCAATTTTTAAATATTTATTATAAAATGTCACGAGTTAAAATTAATTGCGATAAAATTCTTAAAATTTGTTTAAAGTTTTAATTTAATCTGTTGCATTCGCGTAAATATAAGAAATAATTGTATAATAACTAGTCTTTGTATACCCTAAGGTGTACAATATATACGCGACTGCCCAGCTGAGCCACGAATTCCGGTGTACATGATAGTCGGTGGAGCAGCAGGTGGCGCCGGAATATGTTGGTTGCTGTGGGCTCAGTTGGCGAGCAGAACTTCAAACTCCTCAGCTAGTGTACCTGAGAGAGTACTCGCTTATACGCTGACCGTTTTTCTAATGGGATGGTAAGTAATCCTGTAACTACCATAGTTCTTACAAATAAATTATTATTATTATTATTAAATTCTTAGCACAGATTACATTACATACATTACAGTCTTTCCCTATTATATAAAAAGTCCCGCTGGGTTTCTTGCTGGTTCTTCCCAGGACAGAGGTATTTTTTTTGAACCAGTACTTACCAGTGATAAAACTTAAATTACTCTCATTTCATTTCCCGAATTGTTTCCCTCTATAAAAGTTGATAGTCGTTTATTTAAAAAAGTTTTAATTATCTCTTCTAAATCTAGTCTTTCTTTAGCTATGTCATTTAGTGCTGGAAGAAAGAGAGAGCACCTTTGAGTATTACTGGACTCATGGTCAATGCGTGTTGTTTAAGTTTTCTTATACTCTAATATTATTATGAGTCAGGCCGTATATAATTGTTATATATAAATCTAAATAATTACAATAATTTAGGTTTGCGTTTGGAAACTATTGGACGTTGGGCATTTTATGGCCAGACTACGCACCGACGCTCTTCGAGCCGAACCAGTGGTGCCACAGAACGCTATACGTGTTCGCAATAACGCAACTGGGTGTTGTGTGGGGAGTCATAGCATTAATATTATTGCTATTCCTGGCTCTTGTTGTTTGTCAAGTAAGCTTTACAAATTATTATTACCTATATATGTATACATATAACCGAAATACCATTGACTCACTCACTCGTCACGAAATTTCCAAAACTATGCACCGATTGACTTGAAATTTGGCATATACTATTACCATTTACTTGACGTAGACTCCCACTAAGAAAGAGGGTGTAATAAGTAGTTGCTACTTGTTAGTATATAATCTATTGTGGTCTAACGACCGGGTGCTGTCCGCGAACTCCACGGGTCGTGAGTTCGAATCTGCCATTCGACTACCGTCGAGAACCATCCCTAACACAAGCGTTTTAAGCTTACCGGGAGTAGTTAAAAGGGATATTACTAATGTTAATAGTCCTAGTATTGTAAAAATAACTATTCTATATATGGCCTTTTCCTTAAATTTAATTTATTCTTCAGCGAAGGAAATGTCGTGGGAACAACTTTATGATTGAGGAATTAAAATACAAAATTCTCATATTTAAGAATGGTAGAAGCCCACATACACGTAGTAAAGCAATCATCATCATCATAATCATCATCATCACTGTAGTCCACTGCTGAACATTTCTGATACAAACAACTGCTGAACATTGCTGAACATTACTGAACATTACTGACACAATATGGTAGACTATCTGCTCCTTAACGCTCTAACCCCTGGTTTTTCATTTTACAAACGTCAGTTTAATCATTCAGTGAAAGTTTTTCGTAAATTATAAATAAAGCCATCTATAAATATTTGAGTAGTTTCGCCTTAGGTGGAATATTTCCATCTAAGGCGGTGTCCCTTGCAGACTCTGCCGCTTAACTCTTCAGAATAAATTTTCTCACCCTATAGGGTATAATTCAGAGTTACGCCTCAGACACATTTTAATGGCTGCCTTACCTAAGTTTCACTACTATTAATTAAGGTAGGGTAGATTTATAAATAAACGCAAACATTAAGTTAGAACAGTGTTGGAAGAAGAATATTTATGTGTTATTTTGACCAGGTGTTCGGCTGCGGCTGGCTCGGGCCTCCGCGATACAAGTAGCAACGGCGCAGTGTAGTGCTCGAGTTGTGGCACAGAAATATAAACAACACAATGGACGTTGCTGGTGCTTTGTTGCCCTTTACTCAAGTAGTGCGTCCAGAGCTTACTATCCACGTGCAGGAAGTTCTAACGCAGGCCGATCGTGAAGTTATGGACCCTCAAAAACCAAAACAAATACCAGAAATAAAAGAACCCGGTGACAGAAGTGATGATGAAACAAAAAAGAGTCCAGTAAAATCTAAAGGTGTAAGAGATTGTGTAAAAGCAGAAGTAAAAAACGGTAGGAAAGGTAGTCCGGCCTGATGGTTGTTGGTTTCACTACCGCCGCACGGCAAAAAGCACGTACATTTTGAAGCAGTAGATAAAATATACTACTTTTGAGATGAACTAATATATTCATCTATTAGATTAAAGTAGCGACAGTGCAAAAGCACGTATCTGTAGCCGTTTGGCTGTTAGTGCTTTTTTGATTGCCCGTGCTCAAATTTCATCTTTTTTAAATAATTTTTTAGACAAGAATATACTTATCTTATTATATGTGATAAAAGTGTAGTTAAATTGGCAAAGTATTGGCTATGTACGGCATTTTTTGAAATATAATACTATTAAATTTAGATTATGACATTATATTGTAAACAACGAATATTGTATAGAGTCGAGGACTTTAAGTCGGAAAATGAGTGTAGAGTTAATGTGTCCAATACAAAATATGGAAACTATCAAAAACGATTAACATATCTAGTATATTACATATGATGTAAAGTTTAGCATTAATCATCATAACTGTTTTTGAATTACTGTTTAAATATGTATATGTCAGAATATTTATATAAGTTGTATCACCACTTGAATTTGGTAGATTTTAGTACTTCAAGAAATTCAAAAATGATTTCTCGTCTTCGTATTTTAAGATACAAGTGGATAATGCACAAATCAAAGCATGGAAAAGGCTTTAATAGAAAATTTATTGATAACTAAATATTTTTGTGACAAAGAAGAAGAGTTTTAAATAGTGCTCGTATTTTGGTGTGCTTTTTAGATGCAGCATAAAATGACATGTCTAAATTACAGTCGTAGTTTTATATTATTGCTCACATTTTAGTTTGCTAAGATTGTTTTAGCTGCTTTGCTCCAAGCGAAATCTTAAACGGTATAGAACATTTAAGTGGTTACCTTTATTGATTTTACTTGTTTTTTTTCCTATGTTAATGGCGTTATGATACTATAAATGTTGAGACGAGATAATATCATTTTATGTACAAACTTTATGCTGCTAAACTGCTAACTACGAACAAAATGAAAACTACAACAAAACTAACTTCAACAATTTCATCGCAATTTTATTTTTCCTGATAATATTATTAAGTATTTTCTCTGGTATTTAAATACTTTAAATAATAATCTTATTTTATTTTATTATATTCATTTAGATTTATCATTTTCATTCATATATTTATCTAGCCCACCCAGATGAGAAAACTGTATTAATACACCATAATAACAATGTTTTAAAGGTAACAAAAATATCTAGAGTTAACTTGCGAGGTAACCAATATGTGGTCTACCGGCTGAGTAGCGAATGGGTTAATCCGACGACATTTCGGAAAATCTGTGAAGGGCAATAATATGGCACTGAATAAGCAATTCGACTTGAATAAAGAATTTGGTTGCTTTTTTACCCTTGGTGATGATAATTTTATTATATAATATGGTTTTTATTTTAATTTGATTTATTTATATATGTACATCGCATTTTTATATAATATTTATAAGTATTAATACATCTAAACCATGCAAAAATCACATTTCAAAAATCACATTTTATACTTAGCTAGCTAGCTTCTAGCAGGTTGCGCTTCTTCTTCCGTACTTCACGGTATTTTTTAATATTTAATATCACGACTCAAAACTTGAATTCTTTGGCACTAAACCAACAATATTGTAAATATTATTTGGGTCCATAATAGAATTCTTTAATAACTTGGCTATAGTGACTAATATAAGTATGAACCATTGTCTCGAATATATAAATAAATTAATTATGGAAATATGACCTTGTGGGATATGGCATTCAGAGTTTACGTAATCACCAACAGAAACGCATACAGTTATCAACAAAATATTACATTTGGAAGATTCTTTAACCATCACATTCGTCCTTATACTAAGACGTCGTCCCAAAATAGACCAATTTTGCACAAAAGCTTTTTAAATATTTTAAAAACACTATCTATTTTATAAAATTATAATCTGTACCAATTGACAGCAGGGAGTTTATTCTTTCATATGGTGCTGCTTTAAATATTTTAAGGTCTAATATTTATTATACCGCAATGCGAATAGAATTGAATGATTTATTATTAAGGTTATAAAGAGGGGATGCAGTTTTATAAGATCAAATTGTAAGTGAAACTTTTTTCCAAAAGGTTTTAAAACTTAATACACATTTTTAGATACGTACTAGCTGGCATGGCATTGTTCTGCTACTTTCAGTAGATGGCGCTATTAGTTTTACTTTAAATTGACTTTCGACTTTTAACACTGTAACTACAAAACTTATTAGTAACTCAATAACAGTGCCACACATCAGGTCCAGACTTCGTTACTTTAGATTTTTGGCACTAAACAAACATGATTTATTGTACAAATTTGTCATTTTTGTTAATGTACTAAAATGACTCATACAGAGATACCGAATTTGTCAATAACAATTATTCCATTTTGCCCACCAAATGTCAAATATAAAGTGAAAACTTAAATTATTCTGGTTCGCTTTAACTAACTGTTAGAAGGTAGCATAGCAATTAACCGTCGTCTCGACAAAATAAATATACTTTGTGAATATCACCAAAATCACTTAAATCGTTCAGAAGTTACGCTATCTAAAGATAAATTTTAAAGCTAATTTTGATTCTAAAATTGACGCAACGATATTTAATTTCTACACAAACCTGCGGCTAAAAAGTTTCACTTTCATTTTAGCGATACGTATTGATATTATAGCATGCATGAAGTAGTGTATATTATTGTATCACGTAGGAAATGTATAATAGACAACTGGATTTGGGATCATAGATATTCTCATAGTAGATATACAGAGCATAGCTATATAGATTTAGGGTATCTTATATTTGCAATTTCTAATACCATCATATATTTACTGACGATATGCGTGAATATATTATATATTATAATATAATATATTTCTCCCTATTTAATATTAAAAAAACATTAATAGTTATTAAGTTTGCCGTGTCACGGCATAAGTAATCTATCACCCCAATTTATTTTGTCTGTAAATTAGTAAGAGGCGAAACTTATAACTATATACTGTATATCTTTAATTTCTTTTTATAAATAGTAACTGTAGTATTTCCTACTGTACCGTGTTGGCAGTATCCATGCGTAGATAAGGGCAACGTTCAGATCTGGAGAAACTAGTGCGGGATTTGAACCCCGGGCCTTGAGCGCTGTAACCCAATGCTAAGCCACTGCGCCATGTAAAATATCCGGTAATATCCGGAACTGCTATAGACTATCCCTCTTCTAAGGGTGGTGATTAAAGTAAATCTTACTATCTTACTATAGGACAGGCTTATTCGACAGCAATAGACTATGACCGTAATCTAAATGAAAGTAAACTAATAATTATTCAGGGTTTTGCTTATAATCATTTTTCTACACCATTTAAATCTAAGGCCTAATATTACGGTGACTGTACTACATGATCATTTTTGTAATTTGGATTTTATTTCTATTACACCATTTACCGGACGAATAAGAGAGTAGAGCCACGCTGCAGTTATGTTACGTTGGTAACACGAACGGTTTGGCTCAACGAGTGTGGGACTACGCTCTCACTGGAAACCAGAATAAAATAGCAACTTAATGCTGCTATGTTTCGTAAGGTGAGTGTAGAGAACCGGATACCCTCTTTACTGAAAACGTGGCATTCCATCTTAAGTAGTCCTCAATGATCAATTCTCCCAGATGAGCAGTTCGGCTTCAGAACCGAACACTCGTGCACTGTCCAGCTAGCTACATTGCCTCACAGAGTACAAGCGTTTGACAAAGCCTGGCACATCTGGCTTGCTTTACAAGCTCTACAAACTCAACGTGCCTGATGGGCTCACTCTCACCATCAGAACCTTTCTTGTCAACCGTCACTTTCGCTATTGAATAAAGAGCACCCGCTTTTCAAAGCGTCTCCTTAAGGCTCGGTCCTTTCCACACTCCACAGTGACATTCTTAAAGACCCTGTAGTCAACACTACATTTTTCGCTGATGTATCACGATAAAAGAATTTTCACCAAGATATTCCATGCAGCCGTTAACCGCTTAGATGATTGATTCCGCTTATGGAGAATCATAGAGAATCCTGGGAAAAGTGCAGCAATATACTTTCAAAGGAACCCCACTCTCAATTTTCAACGTAAAAATCCCGAAAAATTGATAGGTACGATTAACCTTTTCGGCATCATACACTCGCGTCCATGGGCGGTCATCACCGGTCAGAACATCGAACAATACGAGTTAGTTATCAGAGCCCGGGGCCTGTCACGCCCTGTTCGGGTGGCTGTTAGATATCATTCACGTACACTTTCAACTGACGTAGGGGAACATCGTTACGTAAGTAACGACGTGGAATGACTTAAAGTCACCCTTTTTATTTTTGATTGCGGCCTTACATACTGCGAGCCCTGAGACCAACGAATCTTTAAAAGCCGAAAATCTAACAGCACAAACATCACAGAAATTAGACGAGGATATATTTAATTTATTTATTTATTTAATTTTTATTAAACCTTACAAGGATCAAAGGCGGACATAATGTTTACAGGATCAAAGGCGGACATAATGTTAACACCTACAGTGCACATGCCTACGTAGTGCTATCACACTTTAGGGCTGTGATAACACTACGTAAGCGTTAACAGAGAACAGAAAATAATTTTTTTTTTTTTTTTTCTTCTTTTTTATACACACATAACTCTTCTCTCATATATAGGGCAAACAAAGAGATCAATTAGAACCCGTGTAAAAGAACACGTAGCTGACATGAAGCATCAACGTTCCGGGAAGTCTGCAGTTTGCGATCATATTCTAGATGTCCCCAACCATTACATCAGATTTGATAGACCACAAATCCTCGCGAAAGAACATCGATTCCTACCAAGGATGATACGTGAGGCTATTGAAATTAAAAAACATCCTAATTTCAATAGAGAAGGAGGCTGGGTACTACCACCTGCTTGGGATCCTATAATTAATAAAATTAAAACTAAACCCAAGCATACCACTGC